TCGTGAGCCCCTTGAGAGAGAGTTCATGAAATATTGCTGTGCTGAGACAAATAAAGCTGGAGGTACACACCTGGTGCTACATAAGGTTTCAGTTTAAAATGTTTTCTATAATTTGAACTGCAGCAAAGCACAGAGCAGCAAGGCAACATCGGCAAATGCAGGTTGTTTTTACCTTTTCTGTGGAGCAGATGTGTAGCAGGGAATGGCAAAAGGAGAGTGGTGTGGAGATGTGGTGAACTCACTGGGATGTGTGAACTCATCTCTCTATCAGGAGCTGTGCTTCCCAACCTGCAGGGCGTGGGATGTCTTTTAAGTCTCATTCCTTTTGCCAGATGATCCCAAAAGGTTGTGCTAGGATGATGCTGGGTCTAGGATGCTAAGGGAATATCCTGAACACTGCTCCATTAGCAGTGTGGGTAATGAGAAAGATTTGAAGGCAAGAAAATAAAGTTCTAAAACTACAGTTCTAAAACTACATGTCCATGCAGAGATCAGGTCTTACTTTAACACATTTAAAAACATTCCTACAGTCATCTCGCCTGATGACATCTTATATCTAAATGTGCAAAAAGGCTGTCTGGTGTGAAAGATATTTTTAGAAGACCTGAAATGAAAGACTTTTAGGTAGTGGGGCTCCAGTGTTTTTAAGCATTCTTGCCCTTAAGGAACACACACAGGAAGTTAACTAGGACTCAACATCTCTCCCTTTGGTAGGTGAAGGGCAAGACTTGAGTGGCACTGCTGAGTTTTGAGTGACTTGAACTCTGCAACCATAACTTCAGTCATTTATGGACAATTTGTGGTAGATGAACACTGCCATCACACTTTTATCCATGGGGCACTTTCCAATGTCCCATTCAAACCAAGATTGTAGAAAGCAGATGTGTTCTGTCAATCAGTCAAATGTATACATTGGTTCAGGTTTGGTAAAAAACCTGTATGCCTATACTGTGATGCTCCAAAAATCACTTTTTCAAGTTAATGGTGAGACGTGATGATCTTGAAGGTCTTTTCCAACCTTAGTGATTCTATGACTCTATTCTATTTATTACAGTGAGGATTTCTTTGGCAAAATGGATTTTGTAAATCTCTTAGATGCAGTGAAACTTAAAACTGGGTGTATTTGTGATATGGTCTCTCAGACAAATACTCAGATGTATTTAATATGCAGTTTCACAACTGTAGGTTGTCTGGGATAAATCCTAAGGACCTATTTGATTCTTTTGAACCCTTTCTTGTTACATCTCCTGGTACTGCTCTGGATTCGAGTTTAACCACTGCTGAGCGTGCCTTGCTAACAAAACTGTGGAACAAGCAGACATGAAGATATGTCTCCAGAACAAACAACTCTTCTGAACTGTGGGTCACTATGGAATGCAAATTTTATAGGGAATTTGTAAAATAACCCATAAGTATCTCTGAGGAACCATTTCCTGGTCCTTCTTGCCATTTCCCAGGTCTGTGGGTATGTGCACCATGCTAAGTGAGGCACTTCTGAGCAGCTGCTTGAATGTCTGCTGTTGATACCTTGTGGGACTAGGAATTGTCAGATATCTATCCTTTCCCATTCTTTCCCTCAGTGGAACTGGCTTCTCTGTGACTTACTTTGCTGGATGGAGATTTCATTGTCCCTTAAATGTTGCATCCCAAATCTTCATTCGCGAAGCCCAGCCATGACAAATGTTGCATGAAAAAAAACCCGCCCCACCTTCCTTAATGTACCTGACATGACAAGCTGTGATGGGGAGGGGGAGCACAAGTCACTACTGGAAAAAAAAAAGTCAAGTTTTCTATAGTTTTTAGTAGTGCTTTTGGGCAAAGGTCTGATCTTGATGGTCATCGGTGTAAACTGTGCACATTTGTGGGTGTATGAGATCAGACAAAATAGGATGTGAAACTGTTGTCTGTAGATACGCTCCATAGGAATAACTGCAAGATGGAGGGTTTTCACCTCCATCTGTAAACAAGAAGTATTCAAGCAGCAGTACGGCGTGGTTGACTTCTCATCTGCTTGTTCAGCTACAAAGTTAGTGACACAGGCTGTGCTGGGCTCACAGCTGTTGCAGTTTCACAGTTCTCAGCACCAGTTTAAAAATAACTGGATTGCACCCATGTCAACCACAGTCCCGGCACTAACGGCAAGGGTAGGACACCATTCACATTTAAGCATCATCCCCTCTGCAGAGCCCTGTGACAGACACTGTTTGTAACCAGCTAGTGAGAATGAGAGCACTCCACCTAGTTATTTCTCCCCATGCAGAAGGAACAAAGAGTTTATTTTCCAGCCGGTAGTCTTGCAATTGCAGGCAGGCATCCAGTTATCAAACTGGGCTCTTCCTGTCACCTACCCTGTTGGCAAACAAAGCCCTGCATGTCCGACAGGACCTCAGTTTTTTATAACTGTGCTGTTCCCGTGATTTCTCTGGATATCTCCAGGTAGTTTAAGCACTGAACTGTGTGTTTCAGACTGGATAGTGAGGACCTTGAAGAGGAACAGCATAAGAAAATGAGCTGGCTAGCTTTCTGATGGTGTTTGAGAAGTTTCTGAGTAGCTCTGTAGGGCTAGTCTACCTTTGCTGACAGAATACCAACCTCAAAAGGTTTGGGAGAGCCTCTGAGATGAGGCTAATGCCACCCCTGATGTCTGCCATCATCAGATACTACCATTCCCCCACCAGCCAGCCCAGACCGATGAGACACAGTTGGGTTCACACAACCTCCCACTTCAGCTGCATGAATTGTTTGTTCCTCTGCACTGGACTCTGGCATAGGCTATGTCTATCACTGCATCCATGGAAAATGCAGGAAATCCCTCATGAAGTAGAGTTTCCACCTCATGTCTTCCCAACAAACATATTTCCCTAACTCAATGTCCTCCTTTACAGACATTTAAATTCAAGAATAGCTCTGCTTGAGGTTTTGCAAGGGTTTGCCAAACACAAGAGCCAAGATGTGCTGGCTGTTTTCAAACAGCACTTGGAGTGAACTGTGATCAAAACCAAATTCCCTCTCTTCAGTGCAATTTCTGGCCCTCTGTCTGTGAGCTCCCCATCTCCCTAGTACGCATTTGTAAAAGAGCCCCAGTGAGAGAACACTAGGGGCAAGCATTTGCCTTATAGCAAAGCCCTGCAGTGCTTCTGCACAAGAAACAAGAGCTTCCAAGGGACTGGAAGCAGTTGCTGTGTTTGTGTTGACTGGCCATGGTTTCCCACTGCTGGGGGTTTCCAAAGCAAATGAAATGTTATTCATCAAAGTGGGCTCCCTCCCCAACTTTCAGTTTTTGAAAATACTACAAAGTAAGATGGAAAGAAACATGTAATCCTTCATTATCACAGTGAGGATTTACTTGTTTATTTAGATTTCCCGTCTGTTCCAAATGTTCTGCCAGAGAAAGCCCATCCAGACTCCAGGAGTGCTTGACACACATTAAAAAAAATTCTAGATGTATTTAGAAGATCAATTCATCAGAAGACACTGCCTTCCCTCACAGTGCACAAGTGCAGCAACCACATGGAAGTCCCACATGCACAATAAAATATCTCAGGATGCTTTCTGGAGAAAAAATAAAGGAAGGAGGCACACAACCCTGGGCAGAAATAGATTTCATTGTGGCTCCCCTAGATCAGGAACTTCTTGCTGGGACTGTCCTTGAGCTCCAGGTACCTCCTCTTTTTCTGCCTGGAAAATGTGTTTCAGGTAGAAAAAGTGGAACTTGGTGACTTTGTGGTCAGTAAAAGGAGAGAGTTGTGTACTGAGAGTGATTGCTCCCTCTGCCCTAGGAGGTGGAGTTCAACTTCTTGAAGGTTATCTCTCTCTGCAGATAATACAGGGGAAACAGAGAGAGAGGAGCCCAGACCTGAGTCTGATTTTTAACTGCTTAAGAGCACTAGCTGAATCCCATTCCAAGTACATTGTGTATAAGGAACTTAACTCCCTTGCATTGAAACTACTCAGCAACCTTTGTAGCTGGTGTTTCTCATTCCTGTTGCTGCCCCTACAAAAATGAAACAAGTGACAAGCAAGAGACCATAAACATGGCAATCGCATATAGCTGAGAATGAGATAGACCTTTTGGGTCATCCTAGGATGAGGTAGCAGAAGATGAACAATTGTCCAACAGATATTTTGTGTTTGGATCATCATCTAAGCCAGTGGATTTGAAAATGTCCTGTGAGCTACTCTTCTAGTGATGCATTGGAGGCAGCACCTTTGAAGCTGTCTCTCTGTTTCATTTCCTGGCTGAGAACCACCAGCATGAGTGAACATGAAGAGCCTGATGTCCCTACTGGGGGCAATATTGCAGTAAGCTGGTATAGGGTAGAGTGGGAGGGGGCAGTTTCCAGCCAATGACCCCCCCTAAATAATCCCTTCTTTTAAAGTTATGGGATCTTGAATACTCCTATAAATTGCTGAGATTTTACCCTTCAGGATTTTGTCTTAAAGAAGCTCATATAATGAGATATTTGAGACACCTCTGTTCTTGAAAAGGAAAAGGAAAACGTTCTCTCTTTTGCAGGTGTTGTCTTTATTTCACATGTTGACATAAAGAGAAAGGGCAGACTCACATTAGAATCTGGGGTTTCTGAAAGGGTGCTAAGCTAAATCAAATCTAGAGCTTTCCAAAAGTGACACCCCTTGACCTGAACTCCAGTTTCATACCAGAAATAGGACAGCCTTCCTTCATAAATTCCATGTAGCCTCAGTGGGCTGGATAGGTATGCCAAAACAGTTCATAAAAGTAATTGTGAATCACTAGTATAATTAAGATCTGCAATTTTGAGTCTTAGCTCAATACAGAAGTGAAAGAGAGGATCTTACCACAAAAAGGTATAAAAAAGGATAAGAGTTCCGGAAAAAAAAAAAAAAAAAGACATTCTGCTTTTGAAAAGTTGTGAAGTGTTTCAAGGAATACCTGAATTTGATAAGTTTTGTGTAACTTGCTTTGGTGAGTTTTTGTGTAGAGCTCACCTGTTGCTGTCTCCTTTCTGCTGTCCCCTCAGCTCATGTGCTCCTCGGTGCAGAAAGCCCTATTTGAGGAGGAGGACAGAGTGAAGAAGCTGCAGCAGAAAGTGGCGACGCTGGAGAAGCGCAACAAGCAGCTGCGAGACCGAGTGAAGAAAGTGAAGAGGTCCCTCCGGCAAGCCAGGAAAAACACCAGGCACATGGAACTGATGAACCGAAAGCTCAGTGAGAAACTTTCCTCTGCAGGTGGCCAAATCCCCTACATTAACTCTTTGAAGCAGGAGAACTCCCATGCTACCTACCTGAAAGTATAATGCAAGAGTGAGTGCTCAGGCCAAGGATAGTGGTGAACTTTGCCTGCATTAGATCAGGATCTGGCCCTCACACCTTGTCTATGCTGTGCTTCAAACCTTGCATGGAAAATGAATCTGAACTTGCTTTAGGCACAGGATTAAACAGGAATGCCAACTGGATTTGGCACAGCACAAAGCTGAGTCCTCGCTGTCCTCAGTGGACACAGGGCCAGACAGTCATCTGTGCTTCTCCTTCCTCACCCACTTCCACCTCCACCACCAGTTTTAGGTTGTCTTTGAGGGAAGTGCCAGCCCAGCCCCATAGGCCACTGCACGCACTTGACACAGGAGCTCTTCTTGCCAGCTTACCTCCTCCACATGGGCTGGGCAAGGCAGGCCTGGGGATGTAGACATGGATGCTGTGGGAAGGCTGGAGGCATGAATGCTCTTTGCTCCATCATCATGCCCAAGCTTTCAACCTTGCTAAGCTTGACTTAAGTCTACGTCCACTCTCTGGGCAAAGGCTGTGTCCGAGACACACTCAGTTTAGGCCTCTCTTCAACATGAAGTATAGATGTACCCAAATTGTCTTAAGACTGTTTCTATATAACTCTAAATATTCTAAAGAAAATATCTAATTTTAATTTTACCAAAAAGTGCCTCAAGGCTCTCAGTAACTCCCTCAAGTACCTTTATCATTGGTCAGCCATCCTGTTTGGAAATCAGATAATTTTGAGACTGTGTCTAGGTCCTAAACCAGCTCCTGCAGTCAGAAGTGGACTTAGCCTGTCTTAGTGGGTGCTGGATCAGGCCCAGCAGACAATTTCAGATCCCATTTTCAAGCAGGTTTAATTTACAGTGTGGATAAGTTTTGTAGTCACTGTTTGAGGTATAATGGAGGTTGCTGGGCAGCCTCACTTAGTTACGCTTAGAGACTGTAGAGACCACATCAATATCAACAGGGCATTAAAAATTTAGGTAGTTTATATATGTATATATTTTAAAATCCTATAGAAAATATTTTTATTACACATTTGATATAGTCTAATTTCTTAAAATATGAAGTACAACCTGTTCCTTGGTTATCTTGTAAAAAAAAAAAAGTCCGTCATATCCTTTAATAGACATTTACACACTGAATTCTGATCAAGCAGTGTAGGTTAAGGCATCAGTATCTGTGGCTGATAATGTTTTCAGTTGTGTTAATGAACTATGTTTTGGGTCTTGGTACTCACCCAACCTTCCTTCGTGACAAGGCACCATAGGGAGAGAAAGGTAGAAGAGCTTTTCTGTTTTATTTCCTTTCTCAAAATAGTTTTTCTTACTCTGTTTTATTTCCTTTCTCAAAATAGTTTGTCTTACTCTGAGCATGAGACCCAAGTGCAGATATGGTTCATGCTTTTTGACAGGGGCAGGTGGTCCTTGCCCAGCCCTGGGCAACACTCACAGTCTGCCAGGGCTAAACTCATTTGTGCAAGGTGAACTGGTCCTAGTCCAGATGATCTTTAATACAGAGGTGAGACCTTCAGAAATAGCACTATGGAAACCACTGCTCTGCTCCCAGTGCTCCACAATTTACCAGATCACTGCATGGTCTCCATGCTGTGTCTCAGCACTCAAAATTAGAGTATATCCAGGCTACAGCCCTGCTGGACCACACTTTAACTATCCCTGTGCTTGGAAAAGCCCGTATCAGCTTTCAGACGTGAGCTTTAGTCCAAGAGGAACTCAGAAATTGACTCTCATTACCCTCCAGTTTGGCTCCTTTTGGAAATACAACTTTTTTTTTCCCCTCTTGAAATAATATTGGCATTTCTTATGATTCTGACTCCTCCACGAGCTCCACCGGTTTCAAAGGCTTCTCCTACTACATCAGCACAATTTGAGTTGTTTTATGCTGTAGTCAGCAATGCTGTTTCCTGAGAATTGCTACAGAACTAAGGCTTCCCTAGAAGCCATCAGGAGTTTTAAATCCCAAAATTTAAATCCATAGAAAAGTAACTGCTTTTTTATTGGTTTGTTTATGGTTTCTGAACTGCTGTTTAAATAAATTAACTGGTTTTCCTGGGATAGGTATTAAAAGCTTGTGCTTTAATTTTTTGTTAAGAAAAATATTCGCTCTGATATTCATTCATGTTTTATAAATGTTTGTATAAAGCTGAGAAAGTATAATTAATATAGCTACACCTTTGCTATGCTTACAGATTTTCCAAACACACTGTTGAGTATCTTTTCCTTTTGGCCGATATTTTTGTCACTTGATGAAAAGATTGGAATTTTCTTCCTATTTCCCCCTTTGTCTAGCTTAAAAAAAAAGTAAAACATTTTGTTCTCCTCGTTAGTTTTGTGAGAATTTTGTTACTTTGCAAAGAAAACAAAACCAGCCCCTCCCAAATGCAAAGTCCAAATGTAATCCAAAATGTCTTAACTGGGTACAAAATACAAAAATATTGTTTCCTTGTGAGTTTTTTCCCTTTAATTCCTGCTTGTGTTTGGATCATTTCTAGAGATAAGGAGAAGCAGTCAGATCAGATCACAAGTTAACCCACTGGACAAGTAACAGGGGATGTCAAGCCCAAATGAAAATGCTATTAAAGTGTCACCATTGATTGCCTGTCCCTGCTGGAGACAGTATCCAGAGAGTGACCAGGGAGGCTGTACATGCAGGAAACACAAGTGGGATGAGGAATTTGGATTATGTCTGTCCAGGTTGGTACACATCACACAGGGCTTGACACATACTGTAATTTTTAGACCCAATCTATAGCAACTTCAAGGATCAGCTAATCTGGAAACCTGTAAAAAGGGTGAAAATTTCGTACATTTCCAAAGTTAACGTAAAAGACATGTCTGAGTATGTTCCTCTTGAAGAGTTATGAAGGAGAGACTGAGGTGCTGAAATGCAAAGGAGGTTGGCATAGCTGGATGGGTTGGCAAGGGGTGGTGTAGAAACCCAAAAACATCCTGGTGAAAAATAAAGATACAACTCCTTCTGCCACCACTTGGTTAGAAACAACACCAAAAGTTTCAGCCCACCACGAGAAGTTCAAAGATGCTTTACAAATTAATAACCTCTGCTTTTTCAAAACATATCAGAAGCTGAAGGCTGCCAGAACATCTGCAGGGCCAGTGCTAGGGGTTTCCAGAGCACTCAAAGCCAGAATGGAAGACAAGGATGGGATTTTTGGCATCTGTGTTCACCATGGAGGAATTTAGGGATGCTTTTGTGGACAAATCAATTTTTTCTGATGGATCCAGAGGATGACAAGAACTGAAAGCAAAATTAATTGTAGCAGGACAGAGCAATAGTGACAACGACAGAGAGAAAAGAAGAGAGAGGAGAGGACAGGGGAGGGAGAGGGAGAGGACAGGGGAGGGGAGGACAGGGGAGGGAGGGAGAGGGAGAGGACAGGGGAAGGGAGGACAGGGGAGGGAGGGAGAGGGAGAGGACAGGGGAGGGGAGGGAGAGGGAGAGGACAGGGGAGGGGAGGACAGGGGAGGGGAGGGGAGGACAGGGGAGGACAGGGGAGGGGAGGAACTTTTGCAGTGGGAACTTTGCAGGGTTTGTGTGTCTCACCAGAGTGTATGTGGATAATTCAGGTGCTGCTCTGCACCCAAAACCACCTTCTGTTTTTAGACTTTACAACTGAATTTTCTGTTGTTTGTGTTGTCTATTTTAAGTGGATGTTTATAGAGCAAAGTACATCAAATAAACTCTTCTCATAAATCACAAGCACCATCCTGATTTAAAAACTCTACCTGGGTAGCTGGGGAAGAACCACAAAGTAAAGGTGGATTTATGGAGAGCAGACAATGTTAGCAGCATTCTTTGCTCCTTAACACCAAACCATTGAGAAGAAAATTTCTTCCATATGTTTGAACAAAAATTTAGGGAAATAGCCTTGTTATTCTGTTTGGGTTTTAGCAGAAGGGGGTTTTGGAACAGAAGAGCACATCAGTGTTTTAGAGCTGTATCAGTAAAGCCCATTTCTAATACACAAAACTTCTTGCCAAGCTAGGTAATCTCCCATTAATGAGGCAAAGGAGCCCAAATTAATTTCTAAAAGTAGGAGAAAAACATAAAGGGAAAACTGTGACAAGCAGATAAAACTGACAACATATGTAATTTTTTGTTATAACAAATCCAAGTAATTACAAGGAAATTTCATTTTCCTCCCCATTTAACCCCAATTATTTTCATTTAATCACAGAAATGTAACTATTTCCCTCCAAACCAGACTGCTTTGCGTGTGAAACATAGTTTCCAACATGCGCTTGGGTTCAGGCACGTTCCTAATCCCCTAAAACAAACACAGTGAGCAGGACAGCACGTCCCAGCATATGTGGCACTGCTGGGAGGGCTCGTTGGCTCTGGTTGCATTGGCAGGCACAACATGGATTTAGTGGGGCAAGGAGCAATGCTGTCTTTGTGAGGAACTGTCATTTTGTGCATCATGATGTGGTGCAGATGACACCAAGTTGGGTGAGAGTGTTTATCGGTTTGAGGGTATCCCTACAGTGGGATCTGGACAGGCTGGATCAATGGACTGAGGCCAATTGTATGAGATTCAATAAGGTGAAATTCTGCACTTCGGTCACCACAACTCCGTGCAGAGCTACAGGCTGGGGGAAGAGTGGCTGGAAAGCAACCCCATGGAAAAAACCCTGCGGGTGCTGGTTGAACAGCAGGCTGAATACGAGTCAGTGTGTGCCCAGGTGGCCAGGAAGGCCAGTGGCATCTTGGCTTGTACCAGCAATAGTGTGGCCAGCAGGACCAGGGCAGTGATTGTCCCCCTGAACTCAGCACTGGTGAGGCCACACCTTGAAACCTGTGTTCAGTTTTGGGCCCCTCACTACAAGACACACACTGAGGTGCTGGAACGTGTTCGGAGCTGGGGAAGGGTCTGGAGCACAAGTCTGGTGAGGAGCAGCTGTGGGAGCTGGCGTTGTTCAACCTGGAGAAAAGGAGGCTCAGAGGAGATGTCACTCTCTACAACTCCCTGAAACTAGGCTCTTCTTGCAGGTAACAAGTGATAGGACAAAGGGAAACAGCTTCAAGTTGTGCCAGGGGAGGTTTAGCTTGGATATAAGGAAGAATTTCTTCAGTTAAAGGGTTGTCAAGCTCTGGAATAGGTTGCCCAGGGAAGTGGTAGAGTCACCATTCCTGGAGGTATTTAAAGATGTGTAGATGTGGCACTTGGGGACATAATTTAGTGGTGAACATGGCAATGCTGGATTAACTGTTGGACTCTATGGTTTTCGAGGCCTTTTCCAGCCTGAATGAGTCAATGATTCTATGTGGGGGCATGGTTTAATGGTGGACTGGGGAGTTTTAGGTTATTGATCAGACTCAATAATCTTAAAGGTCTTTTCCAATCTAAATGATTCAATGATTCTGTGTCTTAGTTGGTTTTCCATTAGATGGGCTTGGTGGCATCACACCACTCCTGAAGTGCCTGATGGTTTCTTCTGATGAGAGTGTTTTAGTGATTCCTTGCTGCTTTGGTTAATGTCATTTGCACACCACGGCATCTCCCCCTTTGCTTATCTGCCTATGGATAGTAATTTTTCTTTTTACTGAAGTTTTCCACAAACAAAGAGCCGTTTCTCAGAACAAGTTGTTGGTGGTGAATAATTGTTTTGCAATGTTAAAATACAATCAGCGAAGTTACATTTTCTTTGGCAGACTCCTGCTTTAGAGTCATGACAAAAGTTGGCAGAAGTCCCTTCGCAACCTTATAGGCAGGCCTCTGCCCCAGCAAAAATCAGCAGGAAGCCTTTGAAATGTTTTGGGTTTGCAATGCACATATGCTCAGGAAGGTCTTTGGAGTGCTGCATGGCTAAAACCACAGCAAACGAACTAAATGAACCTTCCTGAGCCTGGACAGTCAAGCTGCCATAGATGGCAGCACAGACAGCCATGCCAGAACTGATAAAAGCGGATTTTAATTGCATTTTCAGTTCCAAGATGCCTCTGCAGTGCCCAGGGGCTGGTGCATGTGCTGGGGGAGATGCCTTAAGAATGAGGATGCTCTAATAAGCTCAGAAAGGAGATGAGGAGTAGCTACAGAAGAGACACTGGAGTTGGAGCACTCACAGGGCCAGAATTGCTCTTACAGAGGTGGCCACCAGTACCTGAATGGATTACTGAGAAAAATCTGTAGCTTTAATGAGAATAGACCCAAGACTGTGTGTTGTTAGCACAAGTCTACTGGAGAGCGAGGAAAATCCTCTAACCACAAGTTGGACAGAACTGTGGGCTCAGCTGGTGCTGTGCCCACAAACCAGCCCACAAATACTACCAGAAAACCACATATTA